ACTGGAAAGAGGGGAAGAAAACCCAAGAGAGAGCAGCCAGGGATAATAAGAGGCCAACAAGAAACACTGACTGATTTAAAACATCCCTTTTCGTGCCAGGAAACGTTACAACCGTAGTAATTCAGGAAGCATTTCTGTGTTTGGGTGAGCTCCTGGCTTGGGTGAAGCAATTGGCAAAACTCCCATTGACTTGAGAATGTCATCCCTTAAGCTTTTTAAAGCAACTTTCCGTGGAAGTTGTCCAGTAACAGCTTAGCTGCAGGTCTGATGATGCTGCCTGTGTAAATACATTTTGGGAGTCAAATGCAACTGTGATCTGGACTTCAAAGGCAACATTATTCCAATTCTCTGCTTTATCACAGTCACCCTACACTGGTATCACTTACCAAAAGCCCAATTTTAAGCCTTCTTGAGCTTAAAATGGAATATAATTCTGACAGCAGCTTTTGCCAATGGATACCATATGCTGACTCTGGTTTTAAATACAAACCCTGTGTTTAAAGCCTTTTCTCACACCACACGAGCTGTGATTTTCAGAGATGGAGGAGAAAGAGACCCCCAAAGGGATTTGAGCACGTTCAGCCACACCACCTTCCCAAAGTCCCCCCACACCACATAGCCCAGCCCAATAAATACACACCTGTTCCCTTTTACACTGTAACACTTTTTAAAGCCTCTTCATTAAAGATTCTAAAAGAAAACAATGTCAAAATAGCAAAAAAAAAAACAACCCAAGGAGATGCATTGGAAATACTAGAAATAATTGAGACTTGATGCTGAGGTCTTGAATTTACATCTGTAACCATATGCTAATTTTTAGTTTGTGTAGTTGTACCCAGTAAGCTCAACAATACTATTCATCACTAACAATAAGGATTTTATCTTCTTTAAAAATCATCTCATTTTCTTTAGTCTTCAAACACAAGGCCACTACCAGAACACCAAAATGGACCATCACGTCTCCTGATCTATGATCCTGGGGCACCGGCTCCTGCTTTTGCAGTTGGGCTGGGCTGTACTCCTGCACGGGCATCAGGGCTTGCTTGGCTTCCAGCTCATCCTGCTGGACCATTTGCTCTGCTCCTCCGTAGGCGTGGATCTTCCTTTTCCTGCAGGGGAAGCATAAGAAGGAATTACAGAATCACAGAATCACAGAATCTTCTAGGTTGGAAGGGACCTCAAAGATCATTTTGTCCAACCATCAACCTAATTTTGACAAAAACAGACACCCACACAACAAACAAGAAGCAACACCATCACTAAACCATATCTCCCAGCACTACATCAACCCGTCTTTTGAACACCTCCAGGGATGGTGCCTCAACCACCTCCCTGGGCAGCCCATTCCAATGGCTGAGAACCCTTTCAGTGAAGAAATTTTTCCAACCTGAACCTCCCCTGGCACAACTTGAGGCCATTTCCTCTTGTCCCATCACCTGTTCCTTGGGAGAAGAGACCTATCCCTGCCTCTCTACACCCTCCTTTCAGGGACCTGTAGAGAGTGAGAAGGGCTCCCTTAAGGCCACACTCCTTGCGACCACAGAAATATGTCTGCACTTCTTTGGCCCTTCACATTTCCTAAAGAGCTGTATTTATGTAGCATGCAACTTCATGAAGGTTTCAGGGATTTTTAAGTATTTAAATACTCCGACTGTATTGGTAACAGATGTTCAATGATATATTTAATTTTTAGTTTTACTGAAAATATCATGTATCGGTTGATATTTTCTGTAAAATATAACATTGAAAGAATGCCTAAACATCCTGTACTTCCAGGAAATGTATCTGAGCCTTTCAGCTACTGCATTAAAGTGGGCACTTCTGAAATTAGTGAGCAAACGTTCTGGGAGTCTAATAGGATTTCTTGTTTGCCAAAAAAATAGTGCTTTCAGGAGCACAATCTTTTGTGTAATCTCTCTCTCACAAGACAGATGGCATCATTAATTGCCTCTGCATCTAGTTAAATTTTAAAACCTGTGCTTAAATAATGTTAAAGTTGTGGTACATGCTGACAAACATAGGAAATATTAAGGTAGAATCAACTGGAAAGAGGGGAAGAAAACCCAAGAGAGAGCAGCCAGGGATAATAAGAGGCCAACAAGAAACACTGACTGATTTAAAACATCCCTTTTCGTGCCAGGAAACGTTACAACCGTAGTAATTCAGGAAGCATTTCTGTGTTTGGGTGAGCTCCTGGCTTGGGTGAAGCAATTGGCAAAACTCCCATTGACTTGAGAATGTCATCCCTTAAGCTTTTTAAAGCAACTTTCCGTGGAAGTTGTCCAGTAACAGCTTAGCTGCAGGTCTGATGATGCTGCCTGTGTAAATACATTTTGGGAGTCAAATGCAACTGTGATCTGGACTTCAAAGGCAACATTATTCCAATTCTCTGCTTTATCACAGTCACCCTACACTGGTATCACTTACCAAAAGCCCAATTTTAAGCCTTCTTGAGCTTAAAATGGAATATAATTCTGACAGCAGCTTTTGCCAATGGATACCATATGCTGACTCTGGTTTTAAATACAAACCCTGTGTTTAAAGCCTTTTCTCACACCACACGAGCTGTGATTTTCAGACGCGGAGGAGAAAGAGACCCCCAAAGGGAGTTCAGCCACACCACCTTCCCAAAGTCCCCCCACACCACATAGCCCAGCCCAATAAATACACACCTGTTCCCTTTTACACTGTAACACTTTTTAAAGCCTCTTCATTAAAGATTCTAAAAGAAAACAATGTCAAAATAGCAAAAAAAAAAACAACCCAAGGAGATGCATTGGAAATACTAGAAATAATTGAGACTTGATGCTGAGGTCTTGAATTTACATCTGTAACCATATGCTAATTTTTAGTTTGTGTAGTTGTACCCAGTAAGCTCAACAATACTATTCATCACTAACAATAAGGATTTTATCTTCTTTAAAAATCATCTCATTTTCTTTAGTCTTCAAACACAAGGCCACTACCAGAACACCAAAAGCTCAGTCTCTTCACCCAGATTTTACTTCATGTGTTTTGTTTTAGCCTGGCTTTATGCTTTAGGATTTTACACCTGTCGTAGTAATGAATCCTATTGGCCAATATCAGCCAGATTTGGAAGAAGGTAAAATCGTCAAATATATTAAACTCCTGTGAGATTTCTAAAAGAAGTTAAGTGGACAGAGGAAAAAGACCTTGCAATGGGAAACGCTGCAGGACCTTATAAATAAAACAAATGCCAGATTCCTCTAGTGTAGAAACATGCAACGTTAATATTTTGTGACAAACTGTGATCAAGGCTGATCAGCAACTTTCATGCCAGGGATTAAATTGTTTCTTTAAATCCATTCTCTTACCCATGTGTTCCGTGGCACTGGACACACAGTGTGGTGGGGCAGGACCCTCCATCACTTGGGGGAAAGCTCAGTTCTGCATCTTCAGGGACAGTGGCCACCCCTCTGCTCCCTCCCACCCATCGCAGGCACCACAGGTTCTGCAGGCAATACGTTTCCACTGTCTTGATTTATTATATTACTTTGGATGTTGTCAAAAGTTCTGAGAGAGCTGACTGAGAGGATTTGCTGAGAGGCTTGTAAACTCTGGCAGGGAGGACTAGGGTGACTGCAGTGGTTCCCATTTTACCTCCTGAAAAGACCCCATTACTCATCTACACAAAAGGCTCTCCTGGGCAGGATTCCAGGAGAAAGCATTTATTTAGTCCCTTCCATTCTGCTGGGTGATGCCTGATGTGAGTCACCCCGTGCTCCAGCACTCCAAAACTGCATGGGCTTCCTCACAGCATTTTGCTTTCCAGGTAATTCAAGGCATTAACCTTGGAATTTCACTCATTAAAATGCTCTGCTCTCACGTCTGCTCTTGACACTAGGCATGCAGGAACCCTCAGAGCTTTTCTAGACACAAAGGGCTCTGATCAAACCCCTCAGGAGTCTGTGCAGCCCACGTGGAGGACTCGTTAGGACCAGGATCTCCAGAGGGAATTCCACAGGAACATTTAGGGTAGAAATAAACAGCTTAAGCTATTGCATGAGCACATTGTAAGAAGCTACTGCCCCTCAGGTGAGGGGATGTGGGTGCTCCCAGGCCTCTCCAGCTGGGAAGCAGCAGGTTCCTGGCAGTCCCTGCAATGGCATCTTTAATCATACACACCCTCATATCACACACACTGACCTCAGCCTGCACTTTGATAATGGGGGATGATTTTGTATCTAGTGTGAGATCACATCTATCTTTCTTGCAGTAAATTATTCTCTCAGACCAAGAGCAGAGCAAAAGTGGTCTGAATGAGTGTATTTTCCTGTTTATTCACAGTGAGCTCTTCTGTGCCAGCTCAGACACTCTTGACCCAGGGCTGGGCCATGGGAACTGCAACGCTTTCCATCACCCCTCTTCTCCTTAAATTAGCCATTATGATGCAAACCACATCATCCATCACAACTACCCTTTTTGCTATAAGAAAGTGTCAATATCTCTTCTTCCTCAAATTCATCCTCAAACCTCAGATCTACATTCTTTGAGACACTGCTTTGCTCAGAGTACGATAATCCCTGTAATTATTTTTTTAAAGAGCAAAATACAAGAGATTCAGACCATTTTGAAACTAAAATAATCTAATCATCTCAGCCATAAGACCATCGGCTGTAATTACCAGCGTAATGCAGAACGCACTCATTTTAGGGAAAGAAAAGTCATTAGAAGAAATTAAAATACTATTTTCATATCACTCAGCTTTGAAAGCAGCCCTACGGGCTTTGTTGGTTTGTTACTCTTCAGGCTGATGAAAAAAGGTTCCTCAGGTCCACCTGGCAGAGCAGGTCTAAAATTTATGCTATTGTTAGAATAACCAGGTGCTTTCCCTCCCTCCACAGGCCTCGTGGCTTTGAAAGAAAGTTTGTTCCAAAGGGCAAAGCTTTCTGCTGGCAGATCTGTTGGAATCAAGTAGGAAAGAGGGCATTTCTTGATCTCAAAGGGACAGTGGGAAGGAACGCGTCTGCCCCACTCACCTTCTGCTCCATGGTTTGTGGATGGATGAAAGTCACAAAATCCACTGAGAAGTAACCAAGCACTCCTTTAGATTTACAGGTTTCACCAATTTTTAGGCAGAGGGGATTGAGAACAGCTGGATCGACAGAGCATTGGGGAATGGTGGTGCCAGATGACCTCAAAGGACCTTCAGCGTGGAGCTGGTCTCCAGAGGACACTATTTGTACCTCGCCCGTTGGCTCTATCAGCATGTCCACCGTCAGGTTGGTGACGTTTTCGGAGAGTGGGAAGGCTTCTATCACACCACCTAATAAGAAATGAATTCGCTGTTAATCTGGGAATCAAATTCACACGTGATGCTCTTCCCAGTGCACAGAATGAACCCATCCAGCTCCGGTTGTGCCCAGACATTACAGGGAGGGCTGCTACGGAGAGACAGCAAGGAAACAACTGAGCAGCATGGCTAGAACCCATGATCTCTTCAAAGAGAAAGAAGACATAGAATCTTAGAATGGTTCAGGTTGGAAGGGACCTTAAAGATCATCCAGTGCCACCCCCTGCCCTGGGCAGGGACACCTCCCACCACACCAGGTTGCTCCAAGCCCCCTCCAACCTGCCCTTGAACCCCTCCAGGGATGGGGCAGCCACAGCTTCTCTGGGCAACCTGGGCCAGGCTCTCACCACCCTCACACCAAACAAGTTCTTTCCAATATCTAATCTCATCTCATAATAACATCTCATCTACTACAGCACCGTACAGTTCCACTGGTGGCTTTTGAGCTACAGACGCTTTGCGAGCAGTTCCAAAACACAAACAAAACATCACATACCTGACAGGAGAAACATGCTCTTGGGATGTATGAACGAATCCTGGCCTGTCCTACAGCCCAGCTAAATGCCAGAACAGCAGTGAAATGCAATGTTGGGACCTCGAGGGAGTGGTATCTCCTGCTGTGAAACCCATCTTGGAGATTCCCATCCACATGAGGGTCAGAGATAAAAAACCTGCCTTTTGGTGTTCATCCACACGAGGAACTTGGTGTGTAGATGGGGAGGTTTGTAGATGACAACTTCTAGCAAGGTTGTCCACAGGAAAATCACAAAGAACCCTGGTTGGCATTCCGGATTTGCCTTTTTATTGCACAGACTGCCACGAGTCAGTTGGTTAGGATAAACTAATATACAATAAAAATTGGTCCTACATCTGTTAACTGGCATTATTTTTCAAAAAAATACTTCCAAAGCTTTGAATCATCCATGAGAAATGTATAAAGCGTAATATATAACATAATTAAATGTATGAAACGTGTATACCCATTATATTTAATACAAAACTATGGTGGGGCAGAATCACTGCAGAAATTTACTACCCGACCACAAACACTGTAGCTTTTGGGTTCAAAATCTGACACAAAAACACAGGATGTTAACGTGTCTTCTGGACAAAGATGGGCTCATTTCTGAGCTCTGGGCCAGCTGGGTACCAGCCAGCTTCCATCCAAAGGTGCTGTGAGTGGGTTTAATGCAGGAAGCCCCGCTGAGGACACAGGACCACGCGAAGGAAACCATCCAGCTCTCAGATTGGAACTTGTTCATGTGCCTTTGGTTGGAGGGCAAGAAAGAGCACGGCACCAATCTGTGCCAATGTCCTGTAAGGGACAATATGGCATTGCATTACTGGTCCTCAGTGGTGGCACCACCTGCCTGGAAGGCAAGAACTGGGGAGAAAGCTCAGCTCTTCTCCAAACCAGTTAAAGGTTACGAGCACATTTCACTTCATGCAACGTGTATGTGTTTACATATAGAATCATAGAATCATTGAGGCTGGAAGAGACCCTTGGGATCATCGAGTCCAACCATCTCCCCTACTCTACAAAGTCCTCCCCTACACCATGTCCCTCAGCACTGCATCTAAACGGCCCTTAAACACAGCCAGGGATGGTGACTCCACCCCCTCCCTGGGCAGCCTGTTCCAATGCCCGACCACTCTTTGGGTGAAAAATTCCTTCCTAATGTTCAATCTAAACCTCCCCTGTTGGAGCTTGAAGCCGTTCCCTCTCGTTCTGTCACTAATTACCTGTGAGAAGAGACCAGCACCAACCTCTCTACAGTGTCCTTTCAAGTAGTTGTAGAGAGTGATGAGGTCTCCCCTCAGCCTCCTCTTCCTCAAAGAAGATAGAGCTCCCTTATAGAAGATATAGCTCCCTTCCTGGTCCTATGGGAGGGAAAAGCAAGTCTCACAGCTGTTTGCTCACCAACATTGAACACCTATGAAATATTCTCCCATTTCCCTATGTGCAAAGTCACATACCAGCACCCCTTAAAGCCCTCTGCGAAGCCCCCCAGAACCATAACCCAAGGAGTTGGTGCTTGTTGATTCAGAATCACATGAGAAAGGCAATCCAAGATTAATATAGGTTAAATACTTGGATAGGATACATGAATGATAGAATAGTCACCTATAATTCATTTGTAAAAAGAACATTTGACGCATAATGGAGAAATAAAAGGAGAGAAATATTTAAATAGGGCCAAGATTAACAAGAGGATGGCATACAATATGGTATAATTACTCCTTATAACACTTAACAGCGACTTTGCAGTCTTATTTACCTTGACTAAGAAATGTTTGGAGGAATTTTTCCCATGTAGGGAATCGTTTCTCATTGACTGGCTGTACGTGCTGTGCTAAAAGGCCCGGCAGCTCCTGGGAGATTTTCACCAAAGCTGGCTCCTGCAGAAACAAATTAAATAGAACCACAAGCAATTTTACTACAGAAATGAAAACTGCTTGTGGGGTGATTAAAAACCAGGCCTCCAACAGGCAAAAAAAAAAAAAAAAAAAATGTGCTTACTGTTTACCCACAGTCAGGAAGCCTTTTTTAATTTTTCTACTTTCTACTCTTCCCTCCTGTTGAAAACTGTCCTTCTCTGAAAGACAACCCACCCCCCCACCTCGGTATAGAATCTATTTCGTTATAATTTATATCAATAATTTGATCTGGCAACTGAAAATGCTAAGCACTTGGTAACTGCTTAGGGATCAATACCAGCAGTCAATAACTTCTACGTTGTTTATATTTTGGAACTGAGCATATTGAAATAGTCACATATGCCAGAAATAGTTTTACTGACTATGTTTAAGCTGTTTCATCAACCCAAGCACTGCTTCATTATTAAAAAAAAGGAATAATCAACCAAAAGCATTTTGAAAGGGGGAGATGCCCTTTTACATTCCCCAATCTGGAACATGAATTCACAAGAGTATTTGTACCTCTACCTTTGGTAGAATTTGATTAATCATTCAATAGGAGATAAGCTCCCTTTTTCCTAGTTTCAAATTCCTTACTATATTATCACGCACACAAACCAACCCCATTAAATACAGAAACCAACTGCTTTTACTGTTCAAAAACGTCCCAGAAGTGCACAGGCATATAAAGTGCAAGGACCCTGACTCTATTGCTTCAGGCTCCTTTTCTTGCTGCTTCAGAAGCGCTCGCCCGCGTCCCCTGGGGCTCTTTGCTTCTGTTTTTACATCCTCTCTCCCCAGCCTCCCGTGCTTCAGAAGATGACCAACCATCCTCCCAGCTTGGCAATGTCCTAAGCTGCAGTCATTTTATCTTGAGCTCTGGATGAACGTGATAAAACCTTATGGCTAACATCTGAGAATAGGAAAATAAAAATAAATAAATCTGTTTTTCCAGAGCAGTGATTTAGAAGAGCTGGGCTTTGCCATGAAGCACATGATGGGATGTAACCAAAAATACAAATTCAAAATCAGCTTCTGTGATTTAAGTACCAGAATGCGGAGGAAGAGGAGGAGCCAATTATTAGGGTATCAACTTTATGTATTGGAGACCTAGAAATATCCTGTTCCTGAACACAGTCTGCCTGAGACTTCAGGAAAAGTGACCTTCTGTCTGCACCTCAGCTGTCCAGCCATGGAATGGGGACAATCGCTGTCCCCACCTCACACTGAATTGAGAAAAAGATGCCTTGAAAATATTGAGGTGCTTAGATAATGACACTGATCTGGGCTACGTGGGCTCCTCTCATATACTAAAGGAGAAAAATATGGTTTTGGCTTTAAACATCTCAGAAAAAATGCTAAAGAATTGTTTTAGCCAGTATATCAATATAGTAAACAGCACGACCTTCACCTGATGGCTAAACCAACAAGGACCACATAAACCATGAGATCCAAGTTGAGAATTTACCCAGATTCCAGTCTTACACTGCTCGTTTCCTGAAAATCCAACAAGACCTTGCAACAATTCCCAGGGACACAAGGGCGGCTGCGCCAGCTCCATGGGATGGTGCTGGGGACTTCTGTATCTCCATTCAGAGTCGTTTTCAAGGGTCACACATGGCTGTGAAAGCTCCCTAAAGTGGATGCAAAATCAAGCAGAACTTCCAAATTTTGCAGTGTATTGAGGGGCACGTTTTCCTGGCTCAGCAGGTGAGAGACTGTCTCCATTCACCCCATCTTCATAGTAACAGCACATGTCCTCCCGATGGGCGTTACACAGGGTGTTGTGGTACTTCCTCAACAGACCCAGTGTTTCTTGCTTAAATGAGGTCCAATTAGCATTTGAAGGGGACTTGAGCACAGGATGATCTCAGAGCATCTATCTGTTGGGGCAATGCCAATACACAGTGCCCAGCTTGGGAGCATCTTCCAGTTCAGGGCTGCAGAGATGATCCATTGGATGGAGCATCTCTCTTCTGAGGAAAGGCTGAGGGACCTGGGGCTGTTCAGCTGGAGAAGAGCAGACTGAGAGGGGACCTCATGGATGCTGAGCAATAGCTAAAGGGCTGGGGGGCAAGAGGATGGGGTCAGACTCTTCTCAGTGAAGCCCAGTGACAGGACAAGGGGCAATGGGGACAAACTTGAACACGGAAAATTCCATCTCAACGTGAGGGTGGCAGAGCCCTGGCAGAGGCTGCCCAGGGAGGTGGTGGAGTCTCCTTCTCTGGAGACATTCAAACCCCACCTGGACACGCTCCTGTGGGACCTGCTCTGGGAGGACCTGCTCTGGCCAGAGGTTGGACTGAGTGATCTCCAGAGGTCCCTTCCAACCCCTGACATTCTGGGATTCTGTGATTCAAAGCACCCTCAGCACTTGCTGACCGTGAAGGACACGTGCATCAAACCCCCTTGCCCCACAGAAAGACGACGGGGGTTTTAAAGAAATTAACTAATTTGAGAAAATCTGAAAAATGTCCTTGTGGGATCAAATCCAGTGTAGCAGAGCTTTAACAACCAGTGCCTCCAGAGGTCCCTTCCAACCCCTGACATTCTGGGATTCTGTGATTCAAAGCACCCTCAGCACTTGCTGACCGTGAAGGACACGTGCATCAAACCCCCTTGCCCCACAGAAAGACAACGGGGGTTTTAAAGAATAACTAATTCAAGAAAATCTAAAAAATGTCCTTGTGGGATCAAATCCAGCGTAGCTGAGCTTTTAACAACCAGTGCCTGGATAATCAAGGTGTTCACAGAAGGGAGTCGGGCAACCGCTTTTTAAGGACCAGCACCTGGAATTCTAGCTGAAGTTTTTTTTGCAACTGTAAGCTCTAAAAAAGGCAATAATCCTGATTACAGGGAGTTTTAGTAGGCAAATTCAAGCCCAGATCCAACATTCACTCGTGAAGTCAAACCTTTTAAAAGGATCAGTGCTCGGTAGGCTAATTTCATTTAAATTGGACAGTATCTCCAGCAGAGTCTACCAATGTTTTATCTCTTGATGGTGGCCCAAAACAATTCCATATCATAGGCTCGATGGAAACAGGGAGCATTTGTTCAAGTCTTTCAGCTGATGCTTCTCAGTACCAGTAAAAAAGGAGCAGCCCAAGTACTGTTTACATCACATAGAAATCTTTAAATCTACCCAAATTGGTTTTGCACCTTTTTATAACAACGCATAAGCATAAAAAAAATTATACCTTTTACCCCGAAATATAAAATAATTTCTCACCCTTCTGCAAGCCAAATTGTGAAAGGCTTTCTTAGAATGGAAGTTGCAACAAAAAATCAGGACCAAGTGTGGTATGTATTGAAGGCACTGGAAGGAAAAGTACTCGAGACTGATCGGTCAGCAAAGAAAAGCCTGTTGGAAAGATAAGTAAATAAATAGAAAGAAGAAACAGACTTTAGAAATAGGAAGAAAGACCTGGGGACAGAAAGAGGTTGTAGAGCAGAATGCATGAGAAAGACCAACAGCTTTTTAGCAAAAATTCAGATTGAAAGGTAATTATTTAAACTTTGCAAGCAAATAGAGTGAAGAAGGTAGCTCCAAGTAAAGCTGACTGGGCCAGAGAAGAATCAAAACGGGCGACAGATCCTCAGTGATACAAACTGCCCCATCTCTGCTGCAGTCAATGAAGCCACAGCAATTGATGCCACTTCAATGGCACCATGGCAATTCACCCCGTTAATGCAGTATATCCTTTATATTGTGATCAGTGGAGCTATGGTAACTTATTCCAGCTGCTGTGATGTGAATGGGTCCAGCCCATTCTTATGTTCTCAGTGACACCACCAGAGAGTCCACTGACTGCTCTCTGACTGTCCAAATAACTTTCATTATTTCCTATTTTGTAAATTAAACTGATTTGACTTTTTTTTTTTCCTATTTCGGACAGGTACAGGCTGGCCAGAACCACAATCCACTGCTCTGAACAAAAACCATTTGAGAGGTTTAGAAAAAAACAGAAATGTTTTTGGAAGCGATACACTTAATACCGTTATCTAATTAAAGTTTGCAGCCTGATTTAAAGCCCAGGCATTTAATTGTTCAAGTGCAAATTTTTAAAATTAAAAAGTGCCAATTTTGCCTTCCACGAGCTGGAAAAGTATGTTCTGATAGAAGGTACCATCATGTAAAACAGCCATCATTACCAAGTAACACAAATGTTTTTCGTATGTAAAATTGCTTTGTAAAATATTTGCTCCATCTGCTGAAAGTAGCAAAGACAATTTTCCCTGATAGCTAATGGCCCATTTCAGCTGGATGGCAAGCGATTCACCGGGGCTGCGACTTGCATTAAGTGGAACGAGGGGGCGAAAAAACGGCGCACAGAATTCGCCACTTATGGAGTATTATCTACTCACTGCTTCCTGAGAGCCCGGCCCTCATTAGCGCGGCCTTCGCTTTGGATCAGCAACGCAGGACTGGGGAGATGCTTTGACTCGAGAGGCTTTTTGTCAAACTGAGGCACATATGCTATGCTTCAATACAAAAGCACAAAACAGCCACTTTCCTTGACGACAAGAACAAGGAGGTTAGTTCTCTTTCAACTTTCCAGCACTTAAACTGCTGTTCCTTTTTTTCACACCACATGGGGCCATGGTTTTCTCTTCTGGCTCATGCTGTCACTCTGCACGCTGAGGATTTCAATATATAAAGATCAAGCACTTCTTTTAATTCTAAATTCAACTACATACACACACAAAAAAATACGAAACAACAAAAAAAAAAAGCCCCACTGACCTAGTCCAAAAAAAGCCCCTCTTCCAATTGCTTGTTTCATTGTACACTTTGCTATTTACCGTCCCTCCATTGAAAAGCACGTTTACATTGTGCCCTGAACTACTTCAACATCTGCTAACAGACCAATAAAAAATAAATAAACCAGGATTGTTCAGAAAGAGAGATCCTTTCTCTTTCCTCCTGACGCTCCCAAGCTGGCGGCAGCAATATGCTGCGAGATCCCCCTTCCTCGATGTCA